TGGGGAAAGGAGTCAACACTAAGGAACGAACCTTGGGCCTTGCACATGCTAACCACTTAAACACTGAATTACACACCAGCCTCCATATCTACCCATAAGATGACATGCCTTCCCATGATAAAAGACATCCAGTGCAATCACTTGGCCAGATAACACCCCGGAAATGTCTTGTTAGCAGTTGTCTGTCACTCTTTGATGAGGCTCACACACAGGCTCTATTTATGCTTTCATGCTGGTTTTGCTCCTGGACCCTGAGAACAAGCACCAAGGCGGTGGTGGGGACATCTGACATTCTCAGAATGAGTCCTTTAATGAGAGTAATGGTCTTGCAGCAACTTATTGTTGGACATTACATGAGATTAAATATTTTCCCTCTGTACTTAGATCATGCCTACATTCTTTCAATAGCCTTGTCTTCATTCCTAAATCCAGTCTCCCATTCTCAGCAACCAGTTTGAGTCAATATACATCTCCACTTCAAGGAGTCTCTTTACATGCAGTGGACAGCCTGAAACACTGCCTCAGTGAACTGGAAGACTTTGTTTCTCCTTTCAGAGCTTTCTCTGTCCACTTTCAGCTGATGCCAACAGTACACAGATTACAAAGTCCTGTTCTCTTCCACTATCTGTCAAAGAGCTCCCTAAATGAAAACACAGCTGAAAGGAAAAACAGGCAGAACAAGCAGACTTACATATATACTCCATAGAAATCTAGGATGCCATGGTAGTTTACTTGCAGTTCTAGACCACACAACTCAACAAGAATGATAATTTCTTGGTTTTGTGCCTACCTGTCCATTTTTTAGGATATCAGATGGCCTATAAGCTTATAGTCCTGTGACCTCACAAAAGGTCCCAGGTCTAATTTTGTGTAACATGTCTACGTTACAGTGGAATGGTGATGGACATGTCATCAAGTCATCCGACTTGATGATTTTATAGGGCAGGGAGCAGTATCTCCATGGCATTTGGGATGCACAGAAGTTCAATGCTGTGTTCATTTGAGGGGCCAGTAGCAAACGAACTTTTCAAATGCTTAGTTGGTGTTAACTGGTCACTAACTCCAGATCCCTGTGTTGGCTGTGTATAGAATGTTAATTCCTCCAAAACTCAGCCAAGTTTAATGTGCCATGTGACAGTACTGAGGTGGAAGGTGAAGAGGTGCTTAAATCATAAAGCCCCACCTTTACAGACTTCACTGCTTTCATCAGTTTCCGTCCTAAGCCCTCTTTTGTCCTAACCACCACTACCCTCCCTCCAAAACACAGCAATGTTTCTTTCATTTATTTGTATGTGTGTGGAGGTCACAGAGCAACTTGCAGGTGTTAGTTCCCTCCTTCCACAATGTGAGTCTTAGAGCTTGAACTCGGATATAGTCACACTTGGAGACAGGACATGCCTTTACCTGTTGGGCCACCTTATCAGCCCCACCAGTGCTAATGCTGTTTGGCCTACTTGTATGTCTGTGAACCTCATGTGCCTAGAGACCAAAATAGGACCCGGGACCCCTGGAATTAGAATTACAGAAGTGACTGAGCTGTTATGTGGGTGCTGGGAACTGAAAAGTGTCCTTCGGAAGAAAGCCTGTGCTCTCAACCATCTGAACCACATCCCCAGGCCCTCAGTGGGTGTTACAAAGTACCACTTCTTTCCCAAAACCTAGACTCTCTAGACCTTACCATCAATGAGTATTCTGGATCCAAATTTATGAGTTCCTCTGTTCAGAGGGGGAACTATCACTCTTATAGATGAAAAAAGTAAACTGCAGAGGACTAAATTGTCCAAAGGTGACAGCTCACACAGCCATTAACACCTACTTGGAGAAATACTGCCTTCTATGCTGTACTTCCTCATACACTCTTGATTTTGTTCCCAAATTATATTTAAAAGGACACTTTTGTAGTTCAGGAAGAAAAAGCAAATTTTGATTGAAATTCCTCTTACCCATTACACCTCTAGGTCTCTATCATCCACCAAGCTGTCAACTCTCCTGACTCACTCTCAGGGGCCTACATGGTTATCTGTGGGGTTAACGCCATAACCTTTGACTCATATTCATATACCAAAACAAAATTTCACTTCCTGTCCACAAATTTAGGGCTGAAGTGCTATGAGTAACAAAATGACTGCTTCCCAACAGACAGTTACAGTAAAAACTACTTAACTTTGGTTCCAACATATCAAAATAGCTGTTGTATTATTTCCCATCTTAATTTGGTTCATTCAAATCTTTCCTCCAGCCAAAACCTATGATAATCCTTTAAACCAAAGCTCAATGCGAATCCCTGGCTCTACACTACCCAACACAAGACATGCTTTGTAAATATGTAAGATGGTCTGTGCTTAGTCTTAGTGACCCCACATAGTGCTGTATAACTGAATATAGGTGCAAGAAAAACTGACAAGTCTTGAACAGTAAAGTAACAAATGTTTAAGTCTTAAATCAAATGAAATGAACCCAGGTTGTTTCTGTAGTGCCCACTACATGGCATTACCACTTCCACTTCACCGAAGCTTAGTTCCCAAACACATATCTTGCACTGTATGTGACTGCCACAAACACAACTCTGTACCATACAACTTAGACTCAAGACTGTTAGGAATTTCAGTGTTCACTGTTCATTTAAAGAATTAAATGAATTTTGGGTTATGATGGCAATTTTCAAAATAGGCCTACTTGTCATTTTTTTTTTACCACTTTAAGTGATATTCTCAACTTTGCCAATTTTAACTTAAAACACCAAAGACAGAAACACTGCCTCGAAAAAAAAAAACAAAAAGAATGTACACAAAGCATAGGGAGGTTAATTCTCTAACCCACTACGTGGGTCTCAAGGATCAAGCTCAAGGTCTCAGTTTTGACAGCCAAGTGATTCTATACCCACAGAGCTTTCTCATTTGACCTGATTTGAAAATAAACATCTCATTTGCAAATGGAAGAATTATAATTACCAGTAAATGTCCATACCTAGAGCCACATAAATTTCTCTGCAGCCAGATCTGTGAGTTCAAGGCCAGCCTGGTTTACAAATCGTTCCAGGTCAGGGTTGTTATGCAGAGAAACATCCCACCCATCCCTGCCACCCCCCCAAAAAATCATGAGCTGGAAAGCAAGCTCTGGTCTGAATGCATGCCTTGCTCATTTTTAAGGAATATAATGCTCAATTAAATGAATGACTGCATAGCACCAAAGGCTGAGAAAACCTTGTGATTAAAACTACTGAAATTTAAAGTGGAAATCCTCAGCACACAAAAGGGCAGGGTAAAAGGGAACCTAACATAATTTAGAAAGCAGGAACCTAACTTTCAGCTTTATCTCTACCACTTGCTAACTTGTGGCTTCTATTTTCTTAGCTACCAAACACTATGCTTCAACCTTTAACTGGTTTCACTAGCAGTTATCCATCGTTTGTTCAACTATCACAAAAGCAATACAAAATATGAGTCTTGGCTCTGCAGCCAAGACCAAATACAAACCCAGCTTCCTCACTTATGAATTACTTAGAATTCTTGAGCCCTGGAGAAATGGATCAGCAGTTAGGAACATTGGGTGAGGATACAGATTTGATTCCCTGCACCCACATGGCAGCACACAACTTGTTCCAAGTATCTGGTGTCCTTGTCAGGAACCAGGCACACAGTGGTGGCAGATACACATACAGAAATAGTCTTAAAAAACAATTCATTACTTAAGTGGAGGTAGTAGGGATACTCTGGTAAGTGGGAAAAAATTTAAATTTGAAGCTATTACTGCTATAGGTCTAGAAAGAGCTGAACCCACCTAAGAATTGATGAGGCTGAGCCTAGGCAGTACAAACCAGACCAAAGGTTCTCAACCTTATTAGTTTCTTGTATTATGGTGATCCCCAACCATAATGTTTTATTGCTACTTTATAACTAATTCTGCTAGTTATGATCTCATCTGCAAACCCAAAGTTGAGGATTATCTTAGAATAAGAAACTCCAGGAGACCAAAGTGCATGCTATAGAAGACAAGTGAGTCCCCAAAAGGTCAGTCTTTAGCATAAGGAAAGCCACATCAGCAACTGTAAAATCACTGCTGATTAGGAATGTGAAAGATCAAAAGCAGTTCGGAGCCCAAGGAGTCTAGAGAAGACATGGCTGATAAAAGCAACCAGTAAATTTGGCAGTAAAGGGGCTGGAGAGATGGCTCAGAGGTTAAAAGCCACGGCTGCTCTTCCAGAGAACCTGAGTTCAATTCCCAGAAACCACATGGTGGCTCACAACCATCTATGAGATGTTGTGCCCTCTTCTGTCTTACAGTGCAGGCATACATGGATGCAGAATGTTATATTTATAATAAATCTTTAAAAAAATTGGCAGTAACCATAAAACCGATCCTAAGTAAATTAAACCCTAAATTTGCCAGAGGATCCTCATTTTTGTTACTTACCTATGTATTATCATTTGTTTCTTCTAAGTTTACACAGTACATTCAATTTTTGTTGTTTTTCAAGACAGGGTTTCTGTGTAGCTTTGGAGCGAATCCTGGCACTCGCTCTGTAGACCAGGCTGGCCTTGAACTCAAAGATCAACTGCCTCTGCCTCCCAAATGCTAGGATTAAAGGCATGTGCCACCAACGCCCAGCTTTTCAATTCAATCTTATGAATCCTTGTGCACAAACTGAAAATCTGCCAAATTGTAGTTGTTTTCAGTTTGCTGATGTGTAGTTAAGAGTGAGCTTTGCAAAAAATTGTCTAGTATGCTTTACAGCTTCAGCAACATCTTGAACCAGATGGAACGGCATACACTTGCACATAGGGGATGGGAGGGCCAGACATTCAAAGCTCACCTGACAGTGTTGGCACATGCCTTTAATCCCAACACTTAGGATGCAGACAGATATGTGAGTTCAAGGCCAGCCTCCAAAGCTACAGAGAAACCCAGTCACACAGAATGTCTAACAGCAAAATCTTTTTAAAATGAAAAACTGTAGCATATGCCAAAATGTTATAATGAACCACAAACAAGGAAAAAAGTTATGTAAATTAACCCATTTATTTCTAGTGGCTAGGCAGGTCTCAGGCAGTCACACTTCTACTGGTCTTTCAATTCCTTCAGTCTTCTGATGGCAGACTTCACTGTGACAGCAGATGTAGTGCTGTTAAGAAAAAGTTTCCAACACAATTAAGTGTGTTAACACAGAAACATGAGTAAATCTGCCTCTCATGGGTCCCCTGCAATCCTGAAATGACTTTCTCCTGGAAATTTATATTGATAGTTTCCTTCAGCAATACCATGCTGCAAAGAATCCTAGGAGCATGGCATCCCTTAAACACCACGACTCCAGGTACTTGCAGAACTCTAAGGTTCTTGTACACTTAGTACTTTCCTTTGAAGATAGGATAGCAAAGGCAGATGGCAAGTTTCAGGGTGCACACCCCAAAGCAGCTAGACTACAGATTATACATACGAACATCACTTGTCAGGAGAGCACTTACTTCCACTCTTCCTTTTGCTAGCCTAAAACTCAAAGTGCTTAAACCCATCCACACAATCATTTCAAACACCAAGACTTCGGTTAAAAACTGTAACTAGTACATGTCATCCCTCAGCAACTAGCCACACCCACAGGACCACACTACTCAGAGTATAAGGGCCTCAGGGCCAGCAAACAGCCACAACAGGCCCTCAAGATGGCTTTAATTCTCAGATGCTAATTTCTAAAGACAAAGCAAATAATGACAGACAGGTTTCTTTCACCTCAGCAACAATATGCGGCCGCCATGGTCACAGCACTAAGTATGTCCAAAGCTTGTCTAAAATGACAATAGTGTGGCAGCCCAAATAGCCCCAAATTTTTCTATAGAATCCCAAACCAACTAACCTCATTTAAAAACTATTTTACAGAAATAATTTGTCAGCCAAGGTAGAGCATACACTCAGATGACAATAATGGACACAGAGAGACCATAATTTTCAAAAGATCCTGTGACTGTACAATTCAGAACATTAAAATTCAGATCCCAACTTTTTCCCAGCACTTGGAAGACAGAGACAGACTCTGTGGATTCGGGGCCAGCTTGGTTTACAGAGCTAATTAGGGCACCCAGAGCTGTTACACAGAGAAGTCCTGTCTCAAAATAATAATAGTCCCAACTTTTATTTCAAAATGTTTTCTATTCCAGTTTTAATCAAAAGAAAACCCTAATTTTTAAGAAACCCTAAAGCATATTTACTTTTTACTTATTTACTTTACAAGAAAACTAGCCAACATGTGCCAGACCTGGAACATGGGCTGTGTGGTCCATACACTTGTCCATAGCACAGAGAAATGCACTCACTTGTAGGTCCAGGCCCCACCAGCCACTGTTTTCATGCAGGAACCACAGTGCCAGATGCCAACAGCTCGTCTCTTCATCTTGGTCTGTAAGTATTTTTTTAAGTCTTGATATGAAATATGTGAAAACAACCCTCTAGAGTTTTCAGAGTCTAAATTATGTTTTTTTTTAAAAAAAAGGCAGTTTATCTATCTGCTAAGCAGTCAAATTCTAGTAACCCAAGCAGAACATTAGATGCAGACTAGACTGCACAGTATGTATACAAGTATTAACACAGCAATCATTTCCCACTGAGTCGTTCAGGTTTCCACCTTTTCCCTCTCCAAAACCAGTTATCCTTCATTTCCTCAGGCATTCCATATAAGCTAGGAATGCCTCGCATAAAATTAGCCTCAAATTCTCGTTATCTTACGCTGTCCCACCGCTTACAAACCACCTTAGGTCACAAGCCATCATCCTCGGAGAGCCAACTTACCTTGCCACAGAAGGAGCAGGTATACTTGGCGTGCTGGCTGATTTCAATTTTCTTCACCATTTTCCGGAGGGAGGCACCATAGCGAGTCCCGTATTTCCCGACGATCCCGACCTTCTTGGTGCGTTTAGCCTGTGGACAGAGTCAATGACAGCGACATTTAGCAATGGGAAAAGTCCGTGCACGCAGCACACACACCGCTGTGCACAAACTCAGCTAGGGCCGAGTTTTCTCCAAGCTCAACCCGCAAGACCGGCGTGCTCGGGCGAGCAGGGCTCCGGAGCGGCGCCTTCACCGCCGAGCTGGGCCCAGCCCCGCCGAGCCGCCTCCGGGGCTCCAGACGCGGCAAGGACCCCGGCAACAGACAGGACACAGGACAGCACAGGCTGCTCGAAGCGGGTGAGGTAGGAAAACCGGACAGAACGGCAGATGCAAACGGATAGCGACTTCCAAAGCAGAGACACCGAAACTCACCATGTCGCCGGAACCTAAGCCCAAGCCCGGAGAGGAAGAGACGCACTGCGCAGGCGCGGTTTTAGCGAGTGGGCGGAAGTGACGTCACGGGCCCTCTAGGACCAGAACTCGGTGTTCCGGAGGTTTACTCGCTGTCCCCTGGCGGTGCTTTGGGGAATGTTTAGGGGGGCTGCTGTCTGGTCTCTTGCTCACAGGCTGGAAGCACAACCGTCTTAGCTTGCACATACACAAAAAAATATACAAAACCGGTGTGATTTTCCTTCCATTCTGATCGCGAGAAGGCAGGTTTTAGGTGACTTAATCTTTTAAGTGTTTAAATCATAACGTTGTGGCTGAGTCTCCTTGCTTTCCCCATTGTGTGATGCTTTGGAAAATCGTCAGACGCTGACCATAGTAAAAGTCTAGGATGGGCTCCCAGGCCAAGTTGCACTTCAGCTGTGAAGACAGTCATATTCGTTACAATTAGGAGTTATGAAATGTTGCTGATCAGAGCTGGCGGGTGGGTAAGGTAAGAATGAGGGGCCACCTCAACCCAAGACCTTAGGGGGGGGTTCTCAGCTGTGGGTCAAGACCCCTTCGGGGGTGTCTAACGATCCTTTCACAAGGGTTGCCTAAGACCATTGGAAAACAGGTATCTACGATTCAGAACAGTAGCAAAATTAGAGTTGTGAAATAGCAACGAAAATAATTTAAGGATGGGGATTACCACAATCGAGGACTGCCCTAGAGCCTGGAATTCTCCCAGGAGAAATGTGGTTGGGTTGGAGACATGGCTCAGCGGTTAGGAGCACCAGCTGCACTTCCAGAGCACTAGGGTTGTTGGATTCTCAACCCCACATGGCAGTTCACAACAGTTTGTAACTCCAGTTCCAGAGACTCCGACGTCCTCTTCAGGACTTTCTGGGCACCAGATACGCATGTGGTACACACAGTTGTTACATGCAGGCAGAACGTTACACATAAAAACTGGTTAAAAGGAAGAAGTCGGGCGTTGGTGGTGCACACCTTTAATCCCAGTGCTTGGGAGGCAGAGGCAAGTGGATCTCAGTGAGTTCAAGGACAGCCAAGGCTACACAGACAAACTCTGTCTTGCAAAACTTTCATTGTTTAAAAGGAAGAAATGTAATTGCAAGGCTGGGAAGAGTTAACAGTCACTCAAATTTTGCCTATGATTTGTCCTCAGCGGTTGTGACTAAGGGTCTGCTTTCTCATTCAGACAGGAAGTAAACAGTATTGCTTCTTCATGTAGAACACACTTTAAAATTGTTTGCTGTCCTTTCTGAGGGGATGGCCAGGAGAAACAAAGCCTGCAAGAGAGAATCCGAGAGAATGCTGCTAGGCATTGTAGCATTCCCTGACCACGTTCCCAGTCAGAACTCTGGTAATAAGTAGCTACACTTCATACAACTAAGTATTAACTACCTCAAATGATTTCTTGTGTGTTTTTGTTTCTTCCTTATTTGTAGTTGTTTTGTTTTTTCTTTGGTTTCTTGTTTTTTGACACAGGGTTTCTCTATTGTTTTGGAGCCTATCCTTGAACTTGCTAGGCCAGGCTGGCCTCAAACTCACAGAGATCCACCTGCCTCCGCCTCCCGAGTGCTGGCATTAAAGGTGTTCGCTGTAACCGCCTGGTGTGTTTTGTTTCTTCACAATAGCCTGCAGGCAGGCAGGTGTTTCCTATCTTCACTTTCTCAGCATCTGAGAACTGTGCTGAGAGGGTCACAGGAACTCAGAGTAGCAGATACAGAAATAATGATGCCAGGTGGCACTGTCTGAAAGGTGATGCACAGTGGGAACAGTCTAAGTGTATATGTTCCATTTAATTGTCATTGTGATCATTTACACTTGAAACACTTTTAGCAGGGCGTTGGTGGCGCATGCCTTTAATCCCAGCACTCGGGAGGCAGAGGTAGTTCCAGGACAGGCTCCAAAGCCACAGAGAAGCCCTATCTCGAAAAACCAAAAAAAAAAAAAAAAAAAAGAATTTTTTTAAAGATTTTATTTATTTATTTATTATGTATACAACATTCTGCTTCCACCAGATCTCAGATGGCTGTGAGCCACCATGTGGTAGCTGGGAATTGAACTCAGGACCTCTGGAAGAGCAGTCAGTGCTCTTAACCTCTGAGCTATCTCTCCAGCCTAGGAAAGAAACAATTTTAATCACCATTATTAAGATAACAAATTTCCCAGCACTCGGGAGGCAGAGGCAGGAGGATCTCTGTAAGTTCGAGACCAGCCTGGTCTACAGAGCTAGTTCCAGGACAGCCTTGGCTTTTATACAGAGAAACCCTGTCTCAAAAAACAAACAAACAAACAAAAAAGATAACAAATTTCAGCCGGGCTGTGGTGGTAAACACCTTTAATCCTAGCACTCAGGAGGCAAAGGTAGGTGTATCTCTGACTTTGAAGCCAGCCTATTCTACAGAGTGAGTTCCAGGACAACCAAGGCTACACAGAGGAACCATGTCTACCTATCTCAAAAAAACAAAACTTTCACTGTTGTTTAGGAGCACAGGCTCTGTAACTGGAAAATCAGGGTTTTTCTACTTACCAGTTACAATGCTTTTGACAAGTTCTTTCCTCTTTCTCTATGTTGGCTTCTCAACTATGAAATCTACATAAGTATTAATATCTACTTCATAAAGTTGTGAAGAGTCAATGAGTTGAATGCATACAAAATGTTTGTCACAGTGCCTGGAACATAGCAAATACCATTCAGCTGTAAGTATGAAGAATTGAAGGCCCAGAAGTTAAGAATCTTGCCCAGTGTCTCACAGCATTGTAGTGGTGGAATTAGAATACAATCTCGGGGCTGACTGTTCTCAAAGTCATTTCTCTGAAATGTCAGCAGGCACTAACCCATGTCATAGTAACACTGAGAAAACAAAACATAAATCAGGCAGGGTACAGGCCAGATTCTGTAACTACCTCATGGTATGGCTTCAGGTGTGTTGGGAGCCAAAGATCTCAGGGCTTGGCATGAGATCCTAGGCCATGCTTGGCCAGCCACATAGTTAACCTTTACATAGCAGCTCCTTAGAATCTCAGCTCAAGAAAAGAAACAACTTGACCCAGTCTTTCATCCACAGGCTCAGTCACCTAGGTAACCCTTCCTGGACCTCTTACTCATGAACTCTTTACCCTGCCAAACATCCTCTTTGTGGCTTCCTAATATCCTGCCTACACTAACCCCTGGCTCACAAACACCCCATTCTACCTCTCCCCAGATCCTGCTCTGCCGACCATATAAGCTAGCCTGAGGGAAAAAAAAATAAAGTTTGCCACTTGATCAGAAGCCTGTCTTGTGGTTGTTCTTTCTGCTTCTTTTGGCCCCCATTCCCTATCCCTGACTCTCTTGCCCTAGGTTGACGTCCTGCAGGTCGGGGCACAGGTGAGCCACAGTCCCTTGTATAAAGTGCCACCTCCCAGCTTCCCACAGCCACTGTATTTACAGTGAAGGCCTGGGCCAGATAACCACTGAGGTCCCATCTACCTCCTGTCTTTTGCGGTTCCAGGGAGTTTCCAGACACTGTGCTGTTGGGACAGTGGCTGACTCTGTAGTGTATGCCATCACTGCCTCATAAAGTTGTTTTCTAAAAAAGATTTACTGTGTATATAGTGTTCTGCCTGCATGAATGCCTGCAGGCCAGAAGAGGGCACCACATCTCATTGTGGATGTTTGTGAACCACCATGTGGGTGCTGCGAATTGAACTCAGATCTCTGGAAGATCCGTCAGTGCTCTTAATCTCTGAGCCATCTCTCCAACCTGCCTCATAAGGATTTATGGAACAAAAGCAATTCTGTTTTTATCCTCCCCTTGCATAACTTGAGCTCTGTTTGTATAAATTCAAGGAAGAGAAAAGGCAGAGAGTCTACTTTTAGAATAGTGTGTTGTGGAACTAAATGGATTTTTTTCTATGTAATATTTTTATCATGAGCATGCATGTCTTTCATAGTCTGAAGAAATTACCACTTAAAAATAATCCCAGCAAAGGTGGATATGGTGGCATATACCTGCATCCCCAGCAGTTGAGAAGTAGAAGAGAATCAGTAGTTCAAGGTCATCTTCAGCTATGTAGTGAATTCACGACCAGCCTGGGTTACTTCAGACCCTGTCTTAACTTTTTGCAATTAACTCCAACAACCCAGTGGCTATAAGGACACTACTCAGATCTTGGTTTCTAATATCATCCTCCAATAGGAAAAAACAAAAAGCAAAACCAGAATTCCCTACAGAAGCAACTGGCTCTAGCACTGTGGCAGGAAATGTTCAAGATGAGCCTGGAGCCAGAAAATAAGGAAATGTCTTCAAACCCAGAAAATCCTGTAATGATGGAGGAAAGTCAGAAACACAGGAGCCAACAGAAAGTGCTTCCAGTAGACACAGATAGAAAATTTTGGAGAAAACGTAAAATAGTATTGATTTACAATTCAAAGTGAAAGACCCCCTGACCCCTAAGGGTCTCAGGATCCCGAGGAGCCCCCAAGACTCAGAAACCAGACCAAGAGCTGCAAAAGCAAGAGGGTTTATTAAAAAAATGCACATTCGGGTGTCAGCAATATCGGGAAAGCTGCACACCCAGCAAAGGTTATAGGCTCTTTTTATAGGGAAAAACCGCAAATTAACATATATGTTTGGGGTACAAAGCGAATGGTTACAAAGTGATTGATTACAAAGTATGATTTCATATTAAAGAGGTCTCCCAGGTAAGACCTGGATTTTTACAAAGGAAAAGAAAACATAGAATGTACTCCGGAAAGTCCTTGATTGTCTGCTGGCCAGCCAGGTGTGACCCAAACAGGGTTGTCTTGGCAATATCCCTCATCTAAACCACAGAATGTGCCCAGGGTTGGGGCCAACTCCCTTGTAATGGGCCAAGGCCTGTGGGAAACTTTTCTCTTTGTGAACTAAAATTTTTTTAAAACTTTTTCTCTCAGCAAACTAAAATCTTTCAAAAGAATAAAATTACTATCTGTGAGTGCATAGAAATAAATAATCGAATAAGTCTGTGATAAGAAAAGAAAAATCTCGGGACTGGAGAGATGGCTCAGAGGTTAAGAGCACCGACTGCTCTTCCAGAGGTCCTGAGTTCAATTCCCAGCAACCACATGGTGGCTCACAACCATCCATTATGAGATCTGGTG